TGGCTTATTGAGTTTTGCACTTCCTTCTTCATTTCTGCCTGAGTTTTCTTCAATGTTTCTATCTCTTTTTAAAATTAACTCAGAAGTTTATCTCTATCTTCTTTAAGTTCTTTGATTTGTTTGTTCATGTGTTCTTTAAATTTGTTGAATTCCTCAATCATGTTTATGATTGTTCTTTTAAGTTCAGTGTCCTGGGTTATCTCTAGGGGGTTCTCCTTGTTGAACTCCTCTACAAGATTGCTGGAGTTTGGTGGGGACATAGTGTTTTGGCTTCCCATTTTATTATTCTTTCGTTGTGATTTTGGCATGTGAATTTCTTTTGTTGTTGATGATTCTGATATGAGAATTAAGTTGAAGTATGCTTCTGTTTGTATTATCGGGATGCCTAGATCCTTTATTTGTTATGTAAAGCTGGTTGGTACTGGGTTCAGGTTCTGTCAGGTTTTTAATTTGCAGGGATGGCTATTCAGGACTACCCACAGGAGCCCAATTCAGGTTCCAGTCAGGTACACCCAGGCTTCCTTCACTACGTGGAGGCATGATCTGGGAGCTCTCAGGCAGTCCACCCTCTCACGTTGTCTGCAGACTTACCAAAGCCAGATCTGCAGTGGGGCCTTGGGTGGGGCCTCACAAAATCCCAGGTCGGGGCTGGGTATCACACAATTAGGGGAAGCTCACCACCATATGGAGGCAGAATCCAGGGGCTCTCAGGCATTCCCCTGCATTCTCAGGCCTTCTTCCAGAAGGAGGCCAGAAATGGCCCTCTCTGGCGTTTTGCTGAGTTCTGAGCTGCTACACTGATGGAGGTCTGAACCCAATCTCTCAAGCTGTCTGCTAGATCTCAGCCTTAGCCTACCAAAGCCAGCTCTGCGCTGGGGCCTTGGGATATCCTAGGTAGGGAGATGGGTATGGCGCAATTAGGGGAAGCTCACCACGCCATGGAGGCAGGATCTGGGGGCTCTCAGGCAGTTCCCTGTGTTCTCAGGCCCTCTATCAGAGAGAGGCCAGAGGTAGGCCAGAACTTGGCACTCTTTTGTGATCTACTGAGCAGTTAGTTTCTTAAAGACATTTTCATTCAGGTATATCATGCACTTTAAATGTTTTTAATATTTTTTCCCTATGTTCTGGGATGTAATTAATCGGAAAGTGATACTTTTGACTCTTAACATTTTTAGTTGGGCTCAGAGCAGCGTTTAGTGTACAGTATATTATTTCC